AAACAATTATAAGGAAATGCTAGAAAAACTGGAATTGTTTTCTTTAAAAAAAAAAAAAAGTTGCATTTGAGGGGATATGATACACTATACAAATACATACAGGCTCAGTACAAACCACTATGTGCTAAACTGTTCATTAGCAAGACTATACAACAGACTGGAAGAAAGGCGTTTTCGCTTACAGCGGAGGATAGGGTTCTTTACAGTAAGAGCAATAAAGATGTGTAATTATCTATCTAAAGAAGTTGTGTTGTCAGATTCTATAGATCTTTTTTTTAAAGGCTTTGATGCATTTTTGCATAGACAGAATATTCAAGGATATAACTGATATGTAAACTGGTTGTTGATCCAACAAAAATCTAATTGCCATTATGGAGTCAAGAAGGTTTTTTTTTCTTGCCTTTTGTGGTATAATTCTAAATGGCTACAACTGGGGGAGGGGTGTTGCCTTCTTTTGGATAAGCATAAAAGGATGGTCTGCACATTTAAACTGGATGGACTTTGGTATTTGTTCTACCTAGACACCCATGTAACTAGATGGATTAAACAAACTGTGGCTATGGCTGATATTTATATTACTAAATTAGGAGTACACTACCCCCACAGGAGCCATATCTACTAAAATCTTTCTAGAATGTTTTATTTATTTATTTTCATCTGTCATTTCCAAAGCTGCAGCCAGGTCATCAGACTCTTCTTTTAAAATATTTTATTTTAAAGTTGATAGTCTATGCTTGTATTATAATTTGTTCTTTTTAACATACATATATGAGCCTCCAGTCTGCCATAAAGTTCTAAATTTTCCAAACCCTCTTGGTGCAGAAACATATAAATTTTATAAAAGGCAAATATTATTCCACTCTAGTAATCCTGCCACTATGGGTGTTGTCTTCTATTTTACAGTTTCCTAAGATATCGATGACTACATTCTTCTTCAATTGTTGTTTGAAGTTATGAATCTGGATTTTTCAGAGCTCCTGATCTTCAAATGTTTTACTTTCCATGTAACTCTTTCTTGCTCATAACACAAAAGAAGATCATGTTTTGTGGTAACATGTCTTATAGGTCTTAGTCACTGCCATAGACATGCGCACGGGGTGTGCCGGGTGTGCCTGGGCACACCCTAATCCCCGCGGCATGCCTATGGATTGAGTCCTGCATGAACAGCGTTCCTGCACTTTTTTTGAGCAGGAACGCTGTTCCTGCAGGCACTCAGCGCCCCCAAATGCCCCCCTTCCTCCCCCCATGTTGCCCCTGTCATGGGGGGGGGCAAGAGGTGATGGATCCTCCCCCCTCTCTCCATCTCAGCCGCGGCGAGGGAGCTTCCTGTGAGAGGAAGCAGAGAGCACGAGCTACCTCGTCGCGGCTGAGATGGAGACAGGCGCCGCCCCACTGGACCCCAGGGACAGGTCCACGCCAGCACTCCAGGTAGGGAGGCTGGGTGGACATTTTTTTATAAAAAAATAACAATTTGTATGTGTGTGAGTCTGTGTATGTGTGTGTGTCTGTGAATGTGTGTGTCTCTGTATGTGTGTGTGTGTGAGTGTGTGTCTGTGAATGTCTGTGTGTGAATGTGTGTCTGTGTGTCAGTGTATGTGTGTCTGTGAATGTATGTGTGTGTCTGTGAGTGTATGTGTGTGTGTGTGTCTGTGAATGTGTCTGTGAGTGTGTGTACGCATATATATATATATATATATATACACACACACGAGTGTATATTTTTTTTGGGGGGTGGGAATCTTGGGAGAGTTCCCACACATTATTCCACAGGACTTATACCCTGCCGGTAGGGGAGATCTCCCGATCTCCCCTGTCGGCTCACGCAGAGCCAGCGCTATCTGAGTGCTGGCTCTGCTCTAAGCCTCCATGGGCCGGCGGGGAGACCAAAGATCTACCTCACCGGCCCACAGCAGCATGGAGGGAGGTAGGAGAGGACCCAGGGAGCTCTAGACAGAAGCTCCACCAGGTTCCTCTCGTGGCGGCAATGCTCAGATCTTGCGAGAGTTAACTCTAGCCCCGCAGGCTAGAGTTCACTCTCCACTGGACCACCAGGGATGGCACATGGCAGCAAGGTCAGAAGGGAGGGGGGATATTTACTAATCTGCCCCCACCTCCACAATCCCTCCAAACATACAGCACACACACACATATAGCACCCACAGCACCTACACACATACAGCTCACACACAGCACGCTCACACACACACAGTACACTAACTGCACCCTCACAAACACACACAGCACCTTTAAAAAAACACAACTCCCTCAAACACAGCACACTAACAGCACCCTCACAAACAGCACCCTCACAAATACACGACACTCACACAAGCAGCACCCTCACACACACAGCACCCTCACAGGACAAACACACACACACAAACAGCACCGTCACAAACACACACAAACACCCTCACCCACACATCACACTAACAGCAGCCTCACACACACATCACACTAACAGCACACACAGCACACTAACAGCACACACAGCAGTGTATGTGTGTGTGTGCATTTTTATATATATATTTATATATACACACACACACACACACATATACATGCGGCGTGTGTTTGTGCTTTAGGGTGCACACCCTAATGCAATAGGCTGCGCACGCCTATGGTCACTGCTGATTGGTTGCTAGTATTCCACATTAGCATCTTTGTAAGCACTACTCTTTTTTTTCTTCTATCTATATTTATTGTTAACTTTTTTGCTGTTGTGAGTAGTGAATAAAGACATATGCATATGCATAATGTTTACTTCCTATTTGTAATAAAATGTATATATTCCTGCACCAAGTAGGCTGGAAAAAATCTTAAAATATAGCTAAAATTACTAAACACAAATTTTGCGTTTCGGCAAATGAGTTATGCATCTGACATTCATAGCAATTTCTGCAAAACTTATAGTTCCATTAGTTCATTATTTACAGTTAATTTCCTGTTGAAAATAAAAAATAAAAAAATAATTACAGTGCTCATACAGTATACAGCATGATTTGGGAGATTTGTCAAAGTGACACCAACTCATTTCTGTCTAAATTTCAGTTAACATTCATCAAAATATATAAATGTCTGTCGTGTTTTTCATGTGTTTTTTATTTTGTACCCATTCCATTATATTTGACACCATTTTTATATGTATCAATCTAAAGAGTTAATTTCAGTATAGTATAACAAGCCTATATACTGTGCATAATTATTTTATTTTTGCTTGAAATCTATCCTGGTGTATATAAATGGTTGTATAAATGGTTAAAGGTAAATGTACTTTCCATAAAAATCACCTTTTTTCATTTTGCAAGTATATGCATTGGTAATACCCCAAATAATGTGACTACAACCCAAGAAATAATAAATTTGGATTCATGGGGGAAAAAAAAGTCATATTATATTCAAAACAGAATCAGAACCAAAATAATAGTCTAAAGACATTCAATGTGATCAGGGCCGGATTAACATAGGGGCTGATGGAGCTGCAACTCCAGGCCCATCCTCATGGAATAGACCTATTGATTAAAAAAAAATATATATATATATACATATATATATATATATATTTAGTTATTTATTTATTCATGTATTTACACATTACTCTTAGGGGTGCCACCTGGCCAGTATTTCTCCAGTATTTGAGGCTGCCTAGCCAGTGCCGGTATTGCAGTAATACCGGCAATACAAATGTCAGTCTCAGTATAAATAGAGATTATTCTGCAATACCAGCACCAGCTAGTAGGGGTCGCTTTGTGTGTGGAGAGAGGCAGGGATAAGAAGTTATAGCATCTCCCACCCTGCCTCTTTCTACTCACTGATCCGCAGGGGAGCAGCTCTGCCCAGAGAGTCCAGACAGCAGCTTCCAGCCTACAGCTCGGGTAAGTGAGGGATGGGGGAAAGGCTGCAGGGAGACATGAGGACACAGACACTAGGGGAAATTGGGAGGCACTAGGGGACACTGGGAGGCACTAGGGGACACTGCAAGACCTGGGGACACTGAGACACTAGGAGGCACTGTGTGATATGGGGATAGAGACACTAGGGGACACTGAGACCCTAGGGGGCACTGGGAGACCTGGGGACACTGAGACACTAGGGGAAACTTTGAGACATGGGGACAGTGAGAGACTTGGAGGCACAGACATTGGGACACTGAAGGACATGGGGACCCTGAGACACTAGGGACACAGTGGCCCCATGTCTCCCAGCCAGTGTCCCTAGTGTCTCAGTGTCCCCATATCTCCCAGCCAGTGTCCTTAGTGTCTCAGTGTCCCCATGTCTCCCAGTGTCCTTGGTGTCTCTCATTGTTTCTAGTCTCAGAGTTCCCATGTCTCACAGAGTCCCCTAGTCTCCCAGAGTCCCCAAGTGTCTGTGTCCCAATGTCTCCAAGAGTCCACAAGTGTCTGTGTCTCCATGTCTCCCAGAGTCCTCAGGTGTCTTACTGTCCCCAGGTCTCCCATGTCCTCTAGTGTGTCAGTGTTCCCATGTCTCTGTGTCCTAGTGACATGGGGACACAGACACTAAGGGACACTGGGAGACATGGGGACACAAACACTAGAGGACACTAGGAGACATGGGGACACATGAGGGCACTGGGCGGCTTTGAGACCTGGGAGACTCCCAGTGTCCCCATGTCTCCCAGCCAGTGTCCCTAGTGTCTCAGTGTACCCATATCTCCCATTGTCCCTGGTGTCTCTCAGTGTCTGTAGTGTGCCATTGTCCCTAGTGTCTCAGTGTTTCCTAGTCTCCCAGAGTCCCCTAGTCTCCCAGTGTCCACATGTCTCCCAGTGTCTCAGTGTCCCCTAGTATAAAAGATAAAACCTCAGGCACTCACTGTGATAGATTTAAGCAGGCTTATTGGACACCGCAATGTTTCAAGCTGTACCCAGATCTTTATCAAGTCTCTGGGGTCCCCTATGTATCACAGTGTCTCAGTGCCCATGTCTCCCAGTGTTCCCTTGTGTCTCAAAGTCACCCAGTGTAACAATGTCTCCCCCAGTGACTGTGTCCCCAGGTCTCTCAGTGTCCCCATATCTCACAGTGTCCCAATGTCTCTGTGTGTCCTAGTGACATGGGGACACTGAGAGACATGGGGACACTAAGGGGCACTGGGAGACATGGGGACACTGAGACACTAGGGGACACTGGGAGATATGGGGCACATAGGGGACATGATACATAGGGGACAATAGAGCCCTGGGGACACAGACACTAGGGGACACTGAAACACTGGGAGATTAGGGGACTGGGAGACTAGGGCATACTAGGTGACATGGGGACACTGGGAGACTAGGGGACACTAGGCGACATGAGGACACTGAGACACTGGGTGACATGGGGACACTGTGATACATAGGGACAATAATACACTGGGAGACTGAGACAGGGAGACACTGGGAGTAATCCATATATACAGTAGAATCAAACTGTACGTAGTTTTTTGGTGATTTTACAGAATTATCTCTTATGTCACTCCTTGTGATTTACATAATGTGATGTCACGCATACTAAATGTATATGCAAATTAGTAAGGCTGATTTTTTTCCAAGAAAGGTGGCATCCCTAACTACCTTTCGTATACTCTTGCTTAAGTATAGAAACTTAAGAGGGATGTAGAGGAACAAAACTTGTGTGGACTGGCTGACAATGAAATTAGTTTAGGTAATGCGGACTTTGGTCTCTCTAACACTGTGGCATGTTCCCTTTCTTCTACACTCACTACATATACATTTTCTCTTTCATGCATTCATGCCAGGCTGTCCTTCAAATTTTTTTCATGCCCTCTTTTTGGGTATGTTTGCCCCTCTTGGCAGTTCTGGTTGTGATTCGCGTTAGTGGCCCACCCTTTTACCCTGTCCATAGACTTCCTGCTTCACTGGACACTGCTGTTAGGGGGTATGGATTTACTTGAAAGGTGAAAGCGTGAGATTAGCATAGGGTATGTGTTTTCTCATAGCTGCATCCTATGAGTTTACCTCCAGCACCTTCTCCATCAAATACATGACGCTTGGGAGGAAGGACTGTTTTAATGTTTTTGGTCGATAAGATTTTGTAATTAGGCCCATGAAAATTGGCAACACCAGGGCCATCGGGTTCTTAATCTAGCCCTGGATGTGATCAGACATAAAGAAAGTAGTAAAAACACCAAGGAACCACAGGATTAGGACTAAGGTCTCAAAGGAAGTATGAGTCAAAAGAAGAATCAGCATACAGTGTTCCATGGAATTAAACTAAGTAGACTTATAGAGGCATGCCATAAGACTTACCCAGTGGTTTCCAACCCTGAACTCATGTTGCACCGGTGGTTAATGCTTGGTCAGTAACCATAGTATATTTGAAGAGGATTGAGAAAAGTCTAAATCTGGGTGGTTGGTGTGTTTTCAAGACTGGCTGGGAAATCAGTGCTCTAAACTCTTTGCTCTCTGTGAAAAAGAAAAATCTAGGCAGATTGTTTAGTCCTTTCATTCCCATTCAGGGGGGTTCAATAATGAAATGCAAACATAGGTTGAACTAAAAAAAAAAATTATTTTGTGACATACCTAGGTATGTTTTATGTAGATGTTTTCCGTTTCTTTAACAAATGGTGACCCTAAGAAGCTTACAAGTTGTAAACGTTCATAACAAAATGGAAGACAAATGCTTTCCAAAGCATCCTAGGAACTTACTGAAATTCTTTTGTCTGTCTAACCCTGTCCAACCAGTTTGTCCAGAACACATTTAAAAATAACCAGTACTGTCAACAAAGATGTTTGCCTGTAATGTGTAGCACTAAGAGTCAAAAAAATATTTTGTGCTCATCATAATTGCCAACGTATGTGCTCATTTATCGTTACATGTATTCAGTAAATATATAAATAACCACAAGGTATTTCACTCTTAGAGAAATACAGTACATTTCTCTGCTATTGTTTATTGTGCACTGCTGCAGAAATACAGAAAATCTCTCCAAGTAACATAACCACAGCAGTGCGATACAAAACCGCGCTCATTGGCTGAGATCGTATAGCTGGAGCTCTTAGCCAATGAGAGCAGCCCTGCATGATACCGGGTAGTTTATTGGAAAAGATAACCGCATTCTCCAGAAGGTGCACAGCGGAACCCCGGTAAGATGTAAAATCGTTATAAACTATGGCATTAGTTTCTGAGAACCATGTCTCATAGTAATAAGTATGTCCTCTGAAAAAAGGTGTGTGACTGCAAGGATTTTATAAAATCCAACAGCTTTTCATTAGTGACAATCATAAAGAGGAGGCAACTGACAGCATTGCAAAGAATCAATAAATTAAAAAGAAAATAAAAAAAGTTAATTTCTTTCTTTATAACTTTACATGGTTTGTGAAGGCCTTCTCATTGTCAGGAGAAAGTATAGAGTGGAAAAGTTACGTTTATTCTGTATGACAGGAATGTGTATGTTACAATTCTAAGAGTGCTTTGTTTAATTTGTCATAGTAACATTGCTGGATTCATTTCATGGCTTTATTTATGTCTTCAACTAATAATGCGTAATCTCTTGACTGGTATGTTGTAAAACCTGTTTTGCAGTTTTGGGTGTGAGAAAACATATTTTCTATCTGAATAAGCCTTGGGTTTTAGGTTCATTACTCAAATTCTTTGTTAACTTGTAGATTACTCAAGTAGATGTTAATTTATAGGATTAGAGAATTGACTTTTTTTTTTTTTTTTTTTTTTTAAACAGAGGTTAAATTAATGTATTATACAAAATACAGATTAAGGAACAAAGCACAAACAAAATATATACTGTGGTAAATTCACCAGTAGGTCACAGTACCCTAAATACTAATTTTAGCATGGGAGATAAATATGCTGACTACAATACTTACAGTTTAAAAGGCTTCCAGGGGACTCTCCACAATGTTAAGCTTACCTGTGGTCACCTCAAAAGGGGACTCAATACTGAAGGGTGGGGTGCTAAACCCAAAAGGAATCTTGTCTCAATTCCAAGAATAAAAAGGGAATTAGAGGCACACCCGGAACATGTAAGTTTCAGCAATATATTTATATTAGGATATTCCTTGTTTTGGTTTGTTTTTGTCTTGAAGTGCACAAGCAGTTTTTCAGTATTGGACACAGTTAATTGGAGTCAAGACAATAATCAAAGTTGTTACTATACATTAATTTACTGGAAAAAAAGTGAATTTGAGCACACCCAGAATATACACTTGTCATCAGTAGTGCTCCTGTAAATATCTAAATATATACAAAATACAGAACAGCACACACACAAAAATACAGGTTTAAATTTTACAAGGATACTGGAGTTCAAGCAATAAGTATTGCATGTTTATCTCCCATAGTAAAATTAGTGTAGGAAGCACAGACACTGGGGTATTGTGACCAGTGATGTATTTACCGCAAGGCTGAAAAGGCATGTTCCAGGGAGTGACAAAAAATGCCACCCCAAAATGTCCCGGCAAATACCTTGTTAGCTTTGTTTTATGGGGATGGCCACTTTTGGGCCCCGTGCCGTGGGCAGCTAGTTGTGTTCCAGGTGGGTGAAAAATTATGCCGGAAGCCGGAATATGACGTTAGTCAAAAGATCACAGCTCCCTCACCATGATACATAGTGCACCTACCTGCCTGCCCACCTGCCCCACTGGACCCCAGGTATATAATACACCCAGCTCTTCCAAAAGTGGATTTAAATTTAAAAAAAGGCTCTGTGGATTTGAATTTTAAAAAATATTGTGAGTGTTGGGGGAGTGTGTGTGTGTGTGTGTGTGTGTGTGTGTGTAAAATACAGTATACACAAAATACAGTATTCCTTGCACCCAACACTACATCACAGTCAGTGGTGTGTTTTGGATTTGTGCTGCCCTAGGCATGACAGTACTCAAGCATCCCCTAATTTAAATTTGTCCCACCCCTTCCTGCCAAGGCCACACCATTTCCAGTTAAAGATTAACACACATTTTGAGTGACAGACACACACTGACACACCCACTCACTGACAGGCACATACTCTCAGATACTTTGACATACACACACCTGCTTTGTGTGCCTGCCTGCCCAACTGCCTGCCCAGCAGCCCCACTGGACCCCAGGTAAATAATCCACCTTGCTCTTTCAAAAGTATGGAGGCTTGGTGGATTTAAATGTAAAAAAAATTAACAATAATTTGTGAGTTTTGGGGGGAACTGTGTTTGTGTATTTTGTGTGAAATACAGTATACACAGTATAAATTTTACAAATTTACAAGACTAAGTGTTTGTGAGTGAGTGAGTGTGTATCAGTGTTTGTGAGTGAGTGAGTGTCTGTCAGTTATTGTGTGTGTGTGTGTGTCTGAGTGAGTATGTATGTCAGTGTGTGTCTGTGAGTGATTGAGTGTGTATGAATGTGTGTGTCTGTGAGTGAGTATGTCTGTGAGGGAGTGATTGTGTGTGTATGTCAATGTGCGTCTGTCAGTGAGTGTTTGTCTGTCAGTGAGTGTGTGTCTGTCAGTGTAGTCTGAGAGATTGTGTGTCTGTAAGATTGTGTCAAATCAGTGAGTGTGTGTATGTCTGTCAGTGTTTGTTTGTGAGTGTGTGTGTGTGTGTGTGTGTCTGTCAGTGAATGTGTGTGTCTGTGAGTGAGTGTGTGTGTATGCCAGAGTGTATCTGAGTGATTGTGTGTGTATGTCAATGTGTGTCTGTCAGTGAGTGTCTGTGTGTCAATGGTTGCCTGTCAGTGAGTGTGGTCTGAGAGATTGTGTGTGTCTTTAAGATTGTGTCAAATCAGTGAGTGTGTGTATGTCAGAGTATCTGAGAGTATGTGCCTATCAGTGAGTGGATGTGTCAGTGTGTGTGTGTGTGTGTGTGTGTGTCTTTGAGTGTGTGTCTGTCAGTGATTGTGTATGTGTGTCAGTGAATGTATGTGTCTGTCTGTCAATTAATGTGTGTGTATTACAGTCAGTGTGTCTGTGACTGTGTGTGTGTGTGTGACTGTCAGTGAATATGTGTGTGTGTGTCTGTCTCTCAGTAATTGTGTGTGCCTGTCAGTGAGTTTGTGTGTGTCTCTCAGTGAATATATGTGTATGTCAGTGAGTGTGTGTGTGTTTGTCTGTCAGTGAATGTGTGTGTATATCTGCCAGTTTGTCAGTGTGTGTGTGTGTAAGTGAGTGTTTCAAAAATAGAGAAGAGGGTTACACTAAATCACAAAAACCACAGGGTGTTAACTGAGCATGGGTCAGCATACTCCATAGAATATACATCAAAGAAAAAATCTCAGGCACTCACTGTAATACGTTTAAAGCGGTTTTAATGGATCCCCAACGTTTCAACCTGTACCCAGGTCTTTATCAAGCTAACACCACAACAGCAAGTAAACGTTTATATATACACATAATCAGATTTAAAAATTAATTAACACGCACAGTGATATAAAAAACACATGATAACCTAATTTAGTTAATGGACTCATTGGTTCAGTTCACAAGCTCCTTAAAAAACATGGTAACTGGAAACAGTACATGGCATATAAAATAAATAGAAACAGGGAATAGATGTAATCCACATATTAAAACAACCATAGGGGGTTACAAAAGTGTGCATACCCTTCTATTTTGATAGGAGGTCACATTCTATGGGCAAATCTATATTTGATGTGAGTGTTTGTCTGTCAGTGAGTGTGTGTAGGTCTGTGAGTGTGTGTCTTTAAGTGTGTGTGTGTGTGTGTGTCTGTCAGTGTGTCTGTGAGTGTGTGTGTGTGTGTCTGTCAGACATACACACATGCACACACACACACACACACACACACACACACACTGACACACCCACTTACTGACAGGCACATACTCTCAGATACACACACACACACACTCACTGATTTGACACAATCTTACAGACACACAATCACTCACAGACACACTCTGGCATACATACACACTCACTCACAGACACACACATTCACTCACAAACACTGACAGATATACACACACACTCACTGACAGACACACATACACACTCACTGACCGAGAAACACTTGATCACAAACACACACACTGACCGACACATGAAGGCACACAGCAGGGCTGGTGCTCGGATAGCGCTGGCCCTGCTGGGGCTGGCAGGGGAGATCCTGTGATCTCCCCTGCCGGCCTCGGTCCACGGCCATCGCGGCCCACCGGGCATTTGCCTGGTATGCCCGATGGCCAGTCTTGGCCTGGGCATTGGCATACACACTGTTTTACCAACACACACTTTAGCTGACACACACACTCACTGATAGGCACACATTCTCAGACACACTGACATACAATGACATACACACTCACTGATTTGACAAACTGACAGACACACACTATTACTCAGACACACGCTGACTAACAGACACACGCACTCACTGACAGACACACACACAGATTTGACACACTATTACTCAGACACACACTGACAGACACACACACTCACTGACAGACACACACACAGATTTGACACACTATTACTCAGACACACACTGACATAACACACATTCACTGACAGACATACACACACATGCACACACACACACTTTCAGTGTGTGTGTCTGTCAGTGAATGTATCTGCCTGTCTATCATTGAATGTGTGTGTGTATAACAGTCAGTGTGTCTGAGTGTGTGTGTGTGTGTCTGTCAGTGAATGTGTGTATGGGTCTGTCAGTAATTGTGTGTCTGTCAGTGAGTTTGTGTGTGTCTGTCAGTGAATGTGTGTGTCTATCAGTGAATATGTGTGTATGTCAGTGAGTGTGTGTGTGTGTCTGTCTGTCAGTGAATGTGTGAGTATATCTGTCAGTTTGTCTGTGAGTGAGTGTGTTGTCAGTGAATGTCTGAGTGTGTTTGTCAGTGTGTGTGTCTGTAAGTGAGTGTTTGTCAGTGAGTAGGTGTATGTGTGTGTCTGTCAGTGAGTGTGTGTCTGTCTTTTAGTGAATGTGTGTGTGTTTGTGTGTATATGAGTTAGTGTGTCTGTTAGTTAGTGTGTCTGTCAGTGAATGTGTGTGTGTGTCTGTAAGTGTTTCTCTGTCAGTAAGTGTGTGTGTCTGTCAGTGAGTGTATGTGTCTGTCTGTCAGTAAATGTGTGTGTATATGTCTGTCAGTGTCTGAGTGAGTGTGTGTGTCGGTCGGTGTCTCTGTGTGTCAGTGATTGTATGTGTATGTCTGTCAGTAAATGTGTGTGTATATGTCTGTCAGTGTCTGAGTGAGTGTGTGTGTTGGTCAGTGTCTCTGTGTCTGTAAGTAAGTGTTTCTCTGTCAGTGAGTGTGTGTGTGTGTGTGTCTGTCAGTGTTTGTGAGTGAGTGTGTGTGTCTGTGAGTGTGTATTTCAGTGTGTGTCTGTCAGTGAGTGTGTGTGTGTGTGTCTGTCAGTTTTTGTCTGAGACATTGTCATGAGTGGCGGGTGGGGACGCTAAAAACCAATAAGGGGGAGACCTATTGTCCTCCCCCTGGCCCCCACCCCTGAGCAGCAGGTGGGGGCCCTAAATTAGAATAAGGGGGGAACCTATTGTCCTCCCTCCCGCCCACCCCCCTGAGCGACGGGTGGGGGCCCAAATTAAAGTGTTCCCCCTCCCAGGTGACTAGGGGTCCCCAAAACCCTAGTCACTCCCCTCCCAAAAAAAAAAACCAGATGCTGAAAAAGTAATCCATCTTCACCCATTGAGGGCACCCTGCACCAATTGAGGGCACCTGGGGGAGTTACATTGTTATTTAGGGCCCCCACCCACCGCTCGGGGGGGGGGGGCAGGAGGGAGGACTGTTCGTGCTGCATCTTGCAGTTGCTTAGTAGATAGCTCCCTAATTCCCATGGCATTTCAGCCAAATTTACTAATACTTAGTAAAGATTACTTAGTATTAGTAAATAAGGTTTAAAATCTCTCTTCTGCCCCTCCTCGCTATACCGTGAATTGGGGAATGTCTACTAAACAGTGAGCAGCCAGGGGCAACTTGCTGTTGTAAAAAAATAAAATAAAGACCCCGCACTCTATGCACTATGTCCCCCTGCCCCCTACTCGTGCACCGCATAAACTATACAGGGGACCTCCCTCAGCCCCCACCCATGAGCGGCAGGTGGGGGCCCTAAGTTGCAAGAGGGGGGGAACCTACCTCCTCCCCCCTCACCCAACAATGTCACCTATTGTCATTTAGGGCCCCCACCCGCTGCTCATGGGCAATAGGTCCTCCTCCTTACTGTCACTATGGCCCCCTCGTCACTATGAAGAGGGCATCATATAAGCTATTTTGCAATTTGTAGAATAGATCAGGCTATAAGCAACTAGCAACAAGGGTGGCATTGTTTAGGTCCATGAATGTCACATGCGGACATGGGGTCCCATATTGAGAGAAAATGCAGTGTTTACATTACTGGCTAGTTATACCTCTAGGACGGCTTTTAGAGGTGCTTCCTGTGCAGTGCTCGTGTGCATGGAAGCGCTGAATGTTCCCCATAGAGATGCATTGATTCAATGCGTCTCTATGAAGAGGTGATGGTTGGCACAGCATAGAATTTTATTGTCCTATGGGAAAGTATTTGATTAGCTGAGATCATCAAGACTGCCATGGAGGCGGGGCCAGCTGCCGTAAGACCAGCGCAGCATGGAAAAAAAGGAAAGTAAACTCATCTTTCCTGTGCAATCTAAGGGGGGATGGAAACCTAAAGAGCTATTTTAACATTATAATGTCAGGAATACATGTTTGAACTCCTGACAATATATCGCTCCTTTAACTGGACTGAACTTTCACCAAGAAGACTAAGCGCAAGCCAGAAACAGAAGTCATGGAATGTATTAACAATCTGCTTAACTGGACTTTGCTGGATTAGTTTCTTGACCAACAATAATTGCTTCATCCAGACCTCAATTTTCTTGGCAAAGAATAATAATAGACAGCAGCCAGAACTGGCAGGGACATTAAAGATCTCTCTGCTTGTCCCTGTGCCTCCTCACCTTCTTGATTGAGCATTGTGGTTTACACCTCTTTCAGGTTCAAATCACTTTAACCCCTTTAGGACACATGACATGTGTGACATGTCATGATTCCCCTTTATTCCAGAAGTGTGGTCCTTAAGTGGTTAAGAGCTTCCTCACAGTCCCCTGGAGCTTCTCAGAGCACTGCAGCCAGCTCTCTTCATTGACTGAGCACTGGATCATGAAGAAGCAACAATACTTGCTTCAATCAAAACTGCATTTCACTTGACAAATAATAAGAAACAATTGAATATAGGACTGTTCCATTGTTATCTTCAAATTGAGATCAGTCAGTGTAGTACAGCACAGTAATACTCATATAACGGGAAATTGGGATTGACCAAGGTTAGACATGAACATGGTCTTGATCACACCTACAGATACATACATTCATACTATACTTGGAGCAGGACCTGACTAAATCTAGGCAGCAGCCTTGAACATGCTGTGATCAATATACACAAGCCAATGCCTTGTAAGCTACAGAAACTACTCAACAAATGGAACAGAAAAAAGAACACTTGTACAAGTGTAGAAGCACCTTTAATTTCAAGCAGAATTATATGTAGCCATGTGCTCTTGCATGACACCAAATAATATGGCTTGAAACATCCCACGAGCATCGAACAAAGTAAAAAACATTACAAGAAATAGATCTCTAACAAAGCAAAAAACATTACAAGAAATAGATCTCTAACAAAGCAAAAAACATTACAAGAAATAGATCTCTAACAAAGCAAGAAACATTACAAGAAATAGATCTCTAAAAAAGCAAGAAACATTACAAGAAATACATCTCTAACAAAGCAAGAAACATTACAAGAAATACATCTCTAACAAAGCAAGAAACATTACAAGAAATAGATCTCTAAAAAAGCAAGAAACATTACAAGAAATACATCTCTAACAAAAGCAAAAAAACATTACAAGAAATACATCTCTAACAAAGCAAGAAACATTACAAGAAATACATCTCTAACAAAAGCAAAAAACATTACAAGAAATAGATCTCTAACAAAGCAAAAAACATTACAAGAAATAGATCTCTAACAAAGCAAGAAACATTACAAGAAATAGATCTCTAAAAAAGCAAGAAACATTACAAGAAATACATCTCTAACAAAGCAAGAAACATCACAAGAAATACATCTCTAACAAAGCAAGAAACATTACAAGAAATAGATCTCTAACAAAGCAAAACACATTACAAGAAATACATCTCTAACAAAGCAAGAAACATTACAAGAAATACATCTCTTACAAAGCAAGAAACATTACAAGAAATATATCTCTAACAAAGCAAAAAACATTACAAGAAATAGATCTCTAAAAAAGCAAGAAACATTACAAGAAATAGATCGCTAACAAAGCAAAACACATTACAAGAAATAAATCTCTTACAAAGCAAGAAACATTACAAGAAATACATCTCTTACAAAGCAAGAAACATTACAAGAAATATATCTCTAACAAAGCAAAAAACATTACAAGAAATAGATCTCTAAAAAAGCAAGAAACATTACAAGAAATAGATCTCTAACAAAGCAAAAAACATTACAAGAAATAGATCTCTAAAAAAGCAAGAAACATTACAAGAAATAGATCTCTAACAAAGCAAAAAACATTACAAGAAATAGATCTCTAACAAAGCAAGAAACATTACAATTGTCAAGTGAACACAAACACTAATGGGTCAGGGATACGAATACCCAGGAGATCCACACTTGTGTAGCTGCTGACACACGAATTGTGAGATCAAGGCACCATGAATGAAGGTAAAGGCAAGCCTTCTGGAGACACATCGCAAAGTGGTAACAACAGGAGGTTGTTTT